GGAGCTGTTAGTTAAAGTCTTGTGTCTCTCGCTAATTGGTTAGTCAAAGATATCTTCTGCCTGTAGCGTCCTCCCTCGGCATTCCTTTCATGTGTCCTCGGCGCGCTCCCGAATACAGGATATATCTCTTGGTTACGCATAGCAACGCTAAAAGCTGAGTAAGGAAAGTCACAAAGCTAGGAAGCAAATGAAACTAATTCAAAACATAGAAAGGGACGTTTTCTTGATATGATCCATTTTCCTTAACAACATGTGTTAGTGCAAATGTAGCATTCAATACTGGAGCAATTGGTATAATTTATTCACTTTAAATCAGTTCTGCTGAAATCAGATTGAAGGGAAGTGATCAAACAGGTCAAACAAGTGATCAAACAAAAATTTTATTTTATTCTGTAGTGTTTGGATTTTTTTTTTCCATTTCATCTTTTTGTCATAAAAAGTAATGTAGTATTATAGTGACTCCCCCATAAAAACCTTTTATGTTAAAAAAAACTATTGATACCACAGGAAGTATAGTGATGTCAGCCATTATTGTGACCTCACAGTCAATGTATTATACCATTGTAGATATTGTGAGTTCATAAATAGCATTGTAGCATCATATTCAATATTATGATGGATAGGGAGTTATGATTTAGGGTTGGGCTGGATGTTTGAGTCAAACATGAGTTCGACTCGAACATCGCTAGTTCATGTGTTAGCCGAACAACGCTAGACCTTGTGATTAACCCTGGGGGGTGGGGTTAACAATACACATTTCTTGTCTTAGGATGACAAACCTACTATAGATAAAGGCACGATGAGTGAGCATTGTTTTCCTAGGACTGGAAGTGTGCTATTGGCAGGACCACTAGGTGAAAATGACAGTAAAAATTACATCGATGGAGCCATTTTTTTGTAAATTAAAGGAATAGTCAAAAATTGACTTTGCTTTTTTTTTTTCAATTAAAGGATTTTATCAAAAGTCTGGACTTTTTACTAACTATTTGATGTAACACTTTAGTGAATGGGTACAAATACGCCTTACTCATTCACAAGGGGGGGTGGCATCTGGGTGCCCCCTTATTTAAAGGGATACCCGATGCAAATAAGCCCCCTTGCCCGCAGACCCCCACAACCACCGGGTCAGGGTTGTGGGGAAGGGGCCCTTGTCCCCATCGGCGTTGGGGACACCCCTCAAAAACGAAATTTCGACCGGACTACCGCTAACAAATTTCGTCCGAATCCGAATTCCGAAACAAATTTAATTTCGCACCCGAATCCGAAAAACTAGGGATGTCCCGATACCACTTTTTCAAGACCAAGTACAAGTACTTGCCCTTAGGTACTTGCTGATACCAATTACCAATACTTTTTCTTAAAGGGACATGTGAGATTTTTTTCTAAAACAATACAGACTAATTGTAACGGTTAAGCGATTGTGGGTGAGGATCTCAACTGCGGAGAGGCTCTGTGGATGGCTCAGGTGGAGGTTCGCACTTACACTCTGTAGTGTGATTGAGTGAGATCGGAACCCTTAACACATCATGCGCCACCACAGGCTGTAACTGAAAAGGTAATGACAATGAAACCTCCCTCTGGTCCACAATTGTGGTTAGTCGCGGCCTTGTGGGGGTTTGTAGTTCGGAATGCAGTAGCTCATTTCACTAATGCATAAACACTATAAAGCAACAGGAAATAACTTGGCAGTGTAATAAAGGCATCAGTGATAGTTTTGTTTGGTTATTACAGTTTCTCAGCACTACATAACACACACGTGCCCCTGACGGCAAGGATAATGTTTCCCAGCAACACAGAAATTAGCAGTACTCCAGAGCAACCCTATGAAGAGTATTGTCTCTTTAACCCCACAGCATAGCATGCAATATATTCTAATGCAGTGTCCAGGTGGTACTTGTGGTTGGATTGGCCCCAGAGCCCCTTCAGGAGTACAGGTCAGAGGATCCGTGATGTGCTGGCAGAAGTCCAGATTCCCAATTCTCTGGAGGAGGACAACAAGGTTCAGGATATGAGGTAAGAACCCTAGAAGATTGCTCAACGTTCTACCTCGCTAGAACGTCGAGCAAGTGAGCCTTCCAGACTTTTGTAATTTAGACAGGTGTGTTGGAGGCGGAGTTGTCAGCAGCGACCCTCCCGAACGTCTCCTAGCAACGGGACGCTTCTGGAGGGCCGGCCTGCTATGCCCTTGCTCTCAGGTGTGACGTGTCTGAGGGCAGCGTCTGGAGGGACGAGCCGAGGACGCAAGCCGGCCGGCCTGTCTTCTAGCAATGAGACGGCGCCGCAGCTGTGCGGGGAGTCGGGTCTTGAGTTCCTGACACTAATAGGGCAGTTTCTCACCAGGCTGCATCCAGATGTCACCAGAATCTGTATGCAGCCTGGTGAGATCTGTACCCAGCCTGGTGAGATCTGGCATCCAGATCTCACCAAGGCTGAATACAGATCAGACAGAATCTAGACGCAGCCGGGTGACATTTGGACTCCAGATCCCACCAGGCTGCGTCCAGATGTCACCAGGCTGCATCCAGATCCCACCAGGCTGCCAATGAGTCTCTCCAGGGCTGTGTATAGATGTCACCAGCGCTGGATATTGGGTCTCTCCAGGGCTGCTGACAGGTGCGTGCTGAGCCCGCTCTATGGGTGCGATAGGACGTGTGGCAAGACTTTGCCAGCGTTCTGTTCCACTGCAAACGCAAAAAATAGGGCTTGTACATTATTAGAATGTTGCTAAAGGTTTATTTTTTAAGATTGTCTGGACAACCCTGGATCAGTTCACAACAATTTCATTAATAAAGTAAGAAAAGCATAACTTTAAGCCCCATTCACACTTGAAGTAAAGGTCGTTGGGTGCTTTTTCAGGCACTTAATTTTATTTTTATATTTAGCCAAAGCAAATATAGTTACTAAGCAAAAAAGCTTGAAAAATGCATATTACACACTTATTTGTGTGTTGTTTGCACGTTTCTCAAGTGCTGCTATTGAGGTCTATTGAAGCAAAAATGCGTGACTCTGCTCCAAAAGAAGCTCATGTACTGTTTTGAGCTACAGATGTTTCGCTACCAGCGTCAAATCGCTCAGGTGTGACCAGGGACCATTAAAAACAAGACGTAGCGCTTAGACATCGAGCTACAAAATGGGCCCTAAAGCTGAATTCGCCAAAAAAATCAAACAGTATCTAAATAAAGACGTGAGCTTTGTGTATTTCTTTCACATCTGAGCACTAATCCAGAATGAAACGTTTCCTCTGTACAGGAGCTTCCTGTAATAAAAACAACAGTTACTGCTGCTCTCTCGACTTGTGAAGGGTGACTGTTCTTGTATCCGCCCCCACCCCTGCAGGCAGCATTTAATGTGTGGGGCCTGCTGGGACCCTCCCATTGTGCTGCCCAAGTCATATGCAGCACAATAATAATGTCACTGCTCGCTTTATATGGTAATAGTAATTGCACAGGTTTTTGGTACATAAAGTGGATTTATATCCTTTGTGGCTATTAAGAAATATATTTACATGGGCATGTTTGTACCTGAAGTTCAGCTTTAAATAAAAGCTGATAAAGCAGAACAGAATGCACCCTGCCTTGAAATATGGCAGCTGTCTGCAGAGCAGGTCAGCTTAGTGCATGGAAGGAAACACATGGTAAGTACAAAGGTGAAATTGATACCATAATCTTTTTATTTTTGGCAAGAGCTTCACATTAATCTAGTGCAGCAAGGAATTTTAATTTATTTGCAAACAAAACACTTTTTTACTTTTGAAACAGGTGAAAATAATTAATTTTTTTAAGATTTCCCTTACTTCCTGTGCCATGGACAGGGGTATAAACTGTAGAGAGGCTATAGAATTTTTCCATTCTAATAAGCGAAATGTTTGTTCCCCACACTTTACTGGAGAGGGACAACAGAGAGGACTTTTTATTCATACCCTTAAAATTATGCAAAATCTTGAGGCATTGCAGTCACAAATGTAAACAATTTAAATAATGACATGTGGTTCCCTCAAAATCTATACCAGACCCTTATTCTAGATATGGGTTTGGTATGGATTTTAGGGGGGGCCACAAAAAAAGGGGTGAAGTCCCCCCCCCCCTTAATATCAGAGTCCCTCCTTCACATCAGAGGCATGTCGCTGTGTAAAAGATTTAAGGCACCCCTGCGGAAGACTGAAGGTGCCCAAGAGTGATGTGGCACCCTGGTTGAGCAAGGCTATTTTATACTTGTATAATTGTGGGTCAGCTCAGTACAGGTGAGGTAACACATCGTGAGCATGAACTTAGAACAAAAGGTAAAATTGATACCATAATCTTTTTTTGGCAAGAGCTTCACATTATTATTTTGCACCATGTTGTTAACATTTTTTTGCAACCAAAACAATTGTTTTTTTAAACTTTTTAATTGAGTGAGAAGAATTAGATTCTTTGTTGTGCTTTTTCCTGTTATCATGGCAAGATTTCCCCCTATTTCCTGTTCTAGCAACAGTGTTGTAATCAGGACAGGAAGTACGAGGGAAAAGCTGCAAAAAGGACATAGAGCGCAACATGCAAAATCTCTGCATGTTAAATACTGTTAAAAAAACCTCAGGGTCCAAAACCTCTGCCTCTCACTTTAGGACTTTAAGACGTTATTTGGAGATTGCTTAAATTTAATGGCATATACGGCAAAGCGGTTGGAAAAAAGGAGGCGTCATTGTACCCCAGAAGTGTACAGAGGCAACTTTGCCTATCAGGAATGGGTGTCCTGTGCTGAGAGAACAGTGCCCTGTACTGACAAAAAAAGAATGGGCAGTGCATCATTTCATATTCGAATGGGCCCTGACAGATGTATTAACCCCCCCCCCCCCTTACTCCGTGTCCATAACAAAATACAATGTGGAAAGGGTTTTGCTTTAAACATTATCATGTAATAATCATTTTTTATTGAATACCCTGCAAAAATGCATGGTTATGTGTCTACAGCCCATGGTGCCCCCACTCACTTCATGACATTACATTTGACGCTGCAACATTTCACCGAGGGACAGCAAACAACTTATAATTTCGAGCTCTTGAACCGTTGGTGTTGGGTTCTGGGGTGATCTCTAGGTCCTTCTTGTCCAGTGTAGGTTTCAAAGTAAATCTCTGGAGTACAGCAGTGAAAAACAAGAAAAGCTCCATACGGGCCAGACCTTCTCCTGCACACACGCGTTTACCTAATAGGAAGGGACAGGGAAAATCAGCTTCAAGATAGCAGCCATAGCAGCACACTCACAACCTGCAGATAACAGTTCTTCGATTGTTGGTAAGCTTGGTGGAGATGCTGCATGCCCGGACTTTCTATCCCTCCCTATCAGCACTCTGTGCAGACACTGTGACTATGTAAAGTACACATCATTCTATGTTCACCCCTGATCTTCTAGAAATAAGGTGATTACAAGCTGGATCTGACTAATAAGTGCAGTTTTCTAAAAGCAGGGAGGTTGCACAGCACAGAATGATTGGCAAGAGGCTATAATCCTGCCCACAAGTTTTCTCAAAGCCCTGCAATATCTGGCTAGATTATTAACAAAAAATATACAGTTATTGTAAATAGGTTTTTTTAATTAATTATGTCACAAAATGTAAAATTCCAACAAAAGAACATCCTGCAAAAGGGAATAAATACGTTTCCTGCTGCCCGTACCACTGAATAGCACTATTGTAGAGAAATAGGTTGCTGAAGTCTTTTCTAAAACCAACACTTTCATCAGGGTCCATTGTTTGATTCCTGCCGTTTCCTCCCACCAAACCCTATGTCTTAATGACCTGAAGTGAGTTAGCATTTGGCAGGAGGAACCACTGAGCATAGCAGGGGAATGCGAGTCCCTAAAAGTCTAGGTTGATAATGAGGCTTTGGGGGATGATTTCTCTGCATTAGAGAAATGCAGCATGGGCATCTGGAGAAGTATTTAAGTTCTTCTAGTAGGGAGCTCTTTTATTGAAACCTTAATTTTAGAAACAGAGCAATTTTAAGTTGGAACGTAAATTATAATTTTGTAACTCTCCTTTGCCCTCCCCAATTCTTACTCAACAAGTAATGCAAACTTCAGACCAGATGAACTGCAGCTTCTAACAGCCCTGCTCAGTGGCTTTGTTTATATTGACCCTTGACCCAACGTAGCAAAGTTTTATGCCTGCACTGGAATGTGTCATAGATTTCTTGGCCATATGTTAGTCCTGAGCTAATCTTCAAGTGAACTGGCACTGAATTTTCATATTTACTCTTTATCTGTACGCTGTAATTGTGCAAATGAGCAAATAATCAACACCCTTGCTGAACTATAGCCATAAAAATGATTTATAAAAGGTAAGTCAGCTGAGGATGCAGCTGACTGGACACTGTGTGTATCTTGATCTGAATAGGTGTTCCTCAACTTTTGTACACCCTTACTGAAAGTTTATGACAGGGGTAAACAACCTCAGCACCCTAGCTGTGATGAAATTACAAATATCATTATGCCTCTGGAAGTCATGTGTTTGGCTGCCAGAATCTTACAAGGTCTCATGGAACTGGAGGTTGCATTATAGCTGAAGTGTCAAAGTTGCCTACCCCTGGTTTATGTCCGCAGTTAAAAGAAGTAAAGCACACTCCATTGTGGTCTGCATCTAAAGACGAACAGTGGTCTTTATATATAAAAAGCAAATTAAGCTTTTCCCTCTCCGTACAGTACAGTAGTCCATAGTGCAGATACACACAATTCTATTAATATTGATAGGAGTAATAGTGGTATCATTTATAATGCAATCATTACATTGCCTTTTATATATTACAAATTAGAATGGATCTCCTTTAATCTTTGGATAGCCTTCTGGTACCTGCAGAAAATGGCATAAAGGCATCATTCTTCTTGAAGGCTCCATTCTCATCAAGAAAGTGTGCAGGATCAAACTCAGTAGGATTCCTAAAAAAATTAGGATCTTTCAATACAGATGTGAGGGAAAGAACAACCAAGGTGTCCTGAAATGAAAATAAGGTAAACATAGAATCAAAACAAAATTATCATCACAGATTTCCCTTTAAAGTTTAGGAGACAGGCAGCATCTCCTGCAGTTAAAGAGACCCTGTCACCTTGTCCACCCCCCAACCAATTTATACTCACCTCTCCATTGAACACCTTTCCCTCTTTCTCCATCACAACTGCCAATTTACCTAGTGTCAGCTATGGAGTGATGCCATAACCCCCTCCATCATGGCCCGGGCAGTGCATAATGGTAGGGGTCATATGCACCCCATGGCTAGAAATAACTGGTGTTTTGCAGCGCCAGCTATTAGACATGTGCACCAGCAAAAAATTCGTTTAGTTTAGTTTTCGTTTTGAAAAAAAAAGAAAAACATTTGTTTAGTTTAGTTTCGTTTTTCGGGTCCGAAATTAAATTAGTTTCGGCCGAAATTCGTTAGCGGTAGTCCTGCCGAAATTCGTTTATGAAAAAAAAACGAAAAATTTACTCTCCCTTGGCTGGACTTGAACCAGCAAACTTCACAATGGCAAACAATTGCCAGCCTGTACCTCTAACCACTACACTATAGCCTCACTATAGAGGAAGGAGCATTCAAAGATTCCAGGAGAAGTGAAAATAAGGTGGTTAGGGGTATGTTTTACACATACCCTGTCCCTGTGCCCTGAAGGTGACAGGGTCAATTTAAAAAAGGTGCACAGTCTGCCTTAACATGGTTTCCATCTTACAACTGACGGAGTCAATGCACATTAGTGAATTTAATTATGGAATGATCCTGTGGCAATCCTTCTCTAAAACACATTTCTATTAATACCCTTACCTTGGGAATGTTATATCCTTGGAAGGTGATGTCTTTGCTGGTAGCATGAAGTAATCCTGATGGAAGAATATCAGCAAATCTCTGAATCTCATGTATAACTGCATCTGTATATGGCATTTTGTTCCTGTCCTCCACAGAGGGAAGGCGATCTTGTCCAATTACGGTATCAATTTCTTTCTGAACTTTCTCTGCAGGTTACATTAAAACCATGAAAGAAATTGCAAGGACTTTTCCTCAAAGAAAACATAGCATCAAAAAGTAAAACATCTACAGATGGCTGTCAGACAGGTCTATTTACTAAAGGGTGAATAGTTTGGAGGAGGCCGGAGAAGTGAGCAATCTAGGACAACATAGCTGAACTGGAAAGTGAGCTGAATTGGATAATTTTTTCCAAATCAGCTGTTTTGGCCTAGATCAGGGGCACCCACAATTTTTCGTCTGGAGATCTACTTTTCAAATGACGAGCTCAATGTGATCTATCAACAAAAAAACACCTGCATTCAGGGGCGGGAGGGGGCATGGTAGGGTTGCCACCTGTCCAGGATTCACCCGGACAGTTCGGGTTTTGAATGCTGTGTTCGGGTTTCATGGCAGCAGAAACCCGGACACAAGATGTCAGGCAGACAGGGGCAACCAAAATTAATATAGGGGCTACTGCCCCCCACTGAAAATAGTCTCTACTGTGATATTTACATGTGAATGGGCGGCACTTTTTACATGTGAACAAGCCACGACTCATTCTCCCACAAAAATGACCATGCATCGCTGGAGTGTTCGGGTTTCGCTTGAAGAAAAGGTGGCAACCCTAGGGCATGGCGGTGCATGGAAGTCAATGGCACCGCAGCCACGCCCCTCACCCGCAGTGCGATCGACCGCACCACTAATGTGCCTGCGGTTCTTTCCAGTGCGATCTGCAAAAATGCTATTTTTGCAGATCGCACTGGACCGGAATGCAGGCACTAATCTGCTTACATTCCAGTGCGTTCTAGAGGCGCCGGCGTCCTGTCCTCCCGGTGTGCTCTTGTGGCCGAATGTGGCCGATGTTGCACACGGGGAGAGGTGTCCTGCCCCTTTCCGTCTGCGGCGTCTAACACATTCAGCCGGCAGCCACATGAGCACCGCGGGAGCAGAGCTGTAGAGCACAGACATAGCTATCTCTTTTTGCGCCCGAGGCAAGAAAAAAAATGTGCCCCCCCAAAAGGCATGTGACGTCACCCAGCGCCCCACCTCCAGGATGTTTGTTTTTCTTTTATATTTTTTATTATTTCTTATTTTTAATTCAATTTGAATTTTTTTAATGTAATTTTTTTTTACTGTTGGGGGGGGAAGCCTTTTGGTAAATATTAGGGGGTCTAAACAGCCCCCTGATATTTCCCTTTTTAAAATAGAAAAATAAATTGAGGTCCTCGATTTCTTTTTCTGCAGCCTCTGTTCTAAATGAATGGAAAGCACAGAGGCTTCCCATTCATTCATAAACTATTTACTACCATCCAGTTTCTGAATGGGGAGGAGCCTCTGTACAGAGTGCTAATCCCCATTGAAAAACTAATGAATGAACAGGAAGTGATGTAAAGCACTTCCTGTTCATTCGTCACTGGGGACACATAGTCAGTCATAGTCAGTTTTTGGCCTGCACAAAGGATCGGTACATATCACTGATATGTACCGATTCTCCTCCCTCCACTCTGCCACGCACACAGGGGGGCTCAGTCTGCAACTTCTCCTCTGGATCCCCGCTGCTCTCCCCTGCAGAGGCAGTGGGGGAGGGAGCCGCTGTCACAGCAGGATGGTCAAGTGATGAGGAGAGAGAGAGCCGCCGGCTGTCAAATCCAGGCTGAGCGGCTCTCTCTCTTCACTGCTCAGCCGTGCTGCTGTGCTGCTCCCTCCTCCACCCCCGCCTGCAGCGCTTCCTTCACTTCTCCTCAGATCCCCGCTGCATACAGATGGGGAGAGCAGTGGGGATCCAGAGGAGAAGCACTGCAGTGATCGCTCTGGTAGATCCAGATTGACCTAATGGGCACTCCTGGCCTAGATTGTTCTCCTTTCCTGCCTTCTCCAAACCCTTTACCCTTTTGTGAATAACCCTGAGAGTCTTGGAATGCCTAATGGGATTTTTAGTATCACCACAGCTGGGCAACCAAGTTGTGCCTACCCCTGGTCTAGAGCTAGAGTGGGTAGTCAGATAAGTAAACGGTCAGCATTAGAAAGTCTGCCATAAATAGTTGAAACACGCCATTCCATTAGCAAAACAATACTGTAGGCAATATCAGTTATACCTGAAATAACAAAATCCATCTACAAATACCTTGTATCTCTGGAAATTTCTGCATTATTAGGAAAGCATATCTCAGAGTAGAGCTTGAAGTCTCAGTGCCAGCAAAAAACAAGTCAAGAACTGATGCCAACAAGTTCTCCTCATGAAATTCTGTGTTCGGGTTCTTTTTCTCCTGCAAAAATAAATAAAATAAAAAGATATACCAAGTTGCTCAGAATTCTTATATTCTACATGCCCCACAGCGATACTGCTACAATAGCTCTGACTGTGCCATAAACTATACATCACCATTACTAGCTACGCAACCACATAGCCTCCCATGTGTCCCGAGGCTTATCACAATGATGTATCAGTGGCGACAGGCTGGAGAGATCCCATTACAGCCAGTTCATAAAGAGACAGCTCATGGTCCTGGCCTAGCGGGGAAAAAAAAAAAAAAGCTTCTCCACGCTATCCAGGAAAAAAGTGAAGTCACGAATTACACTATTTTTTTTTTCTTTCACTGTTGAAAATTATTTGGGTCCAGTTGACTCGACGTTTTTGTTTTTGTTTTGGTTTTATCATCCCCTAAAGGGATTCACAGTTACCTACTACCTACGGTTCTCAGTCTCGTTCACGCCATGTAGAGCAAAGTTTACGACAATCCAGATTGGGAAAGTATCGTTCCCACATTTCAAGTTGATTATTATGCTTAAGTGCCTTGTATTGATGATTGTATATTTCCCCTGGTCTTTGCTGACATTAACGTGTTATCTATTCCGTGCTTATCCCCCTACTACAGAAAAACTAATATGAGAGTGGTCTCCTGGAATGTCAATGGTCTCAAATCACCTGCAAAATGCATGATGGTTCTTCGCCACCTACAAAAACTTAAACCAGACATCGTGTTTCTACAAGAAACCCATCTTCCCGCCGAAGATATCACTAGGCTGCGCAAGCTATGGGTGGGTGAAGTCATCGGCTCCCCAGCTGTGGGATGACAATCAGGGGTAGCTATCCTTTTTCATAAAAAAATTTCTTATAGCATAGACCATATCACTGCCGATCATGAGGGGCGTAAACTGTTGGTGAAAATTAAGATTCACAATAAAACATATTCGTTATATAACTTTTACTTCCCCAATACCCCCCCGATGGCCTACTTCCAGGAGACCACATCATGGATAATGCAATTTGAATTTTTTTAATGTAATTTTTTTTTACTGTTGGGGGGGGAAGCCTTTTGGTAAATATTAGGGGGTCTAAACAGCCCCCTGATATTTCCCTTTTTAAAATAGAAAAATAAATTGAGGTCCTCGATTTCTTTTTCTGCAGCCTCTGTTCTAAATGAATGGAAAGCACAGAGGCTTCCCATTCATTCATAAACTATTTACTACCATCCAGTTTCTGAATGGGGAGGAGCCTCTGTACAGAGTGCTAATCCCCATTGAAAAACTAATGAATGAACAGGAAGTGATGTAAAGCACTTCCTGTTCATTCGTCACTGGGGACACATAGTCAGTCATAGTCAGTTTTTGGCCTGCACAAAGGATCGGTACATATCACTGATATGTACCGATTCTCCTCCCTCCACTCTGCCACGCACACAGGGGGGCTCAGTCTGCAACTTCTCCTCTGGATCCCCGCTGCTCTCCCCTGCAGAGGCAGTGGGGGAGGGAGCCGCTGTCACAGCAGGATGGTCAAGTGATGAGGAGAGAGAGAGCCGCCGGCTGTCAAATCCAGGCTGAGCGGCTCTCTCTCTTCACTGCTCAGCCGTGCTGCTGTGCTGCTCCCTCCTCCACCCCCGCCTGCAGCGCTTCCTTCACTTCTCCTCAGATCCCCGCTGCATACAGATGGGGAGAGCAGTGGGGATCCAGAGGAGAAGCACTGCAGTGATCGCTCTGGTAGATCCAGATTGACCTAATGGGCACTCCTGGCCTAGATTGTTCTCCTTTCCTGCCTTCTCCAAACCCTTTACCCTTTTGTGAATAACCCTGAGAGTCTTGGAATGCCTAATGGGATTTTTAGTATCACCACAGCTGGGCAACCAAGTTGTGCCTACCCCCGGTCTAGAGCTAGAGTGGGTAGTGAGATAAGTAAACGGTCAGCATTAGAAAATGACGTCCATCCGAGCGACCGATCCCCCCTTCCACAGAGGCTTGGCACTCCTGCAAGGAAACCCTCATCGCGTCTCCCGATGACCCCCACGGACTCACCCTGAATCACCATGGTACCCAGATTACACTCTTGTCGCAAGGTATGTCTATCGTTCCTGTGTAACTGCATCCCAGATCACTTAGTGAGACACCTCAGCCACGATCACTTCGCAAGGGGGCTTTAGACTAACGGGTCATTGCCGGAGAACTCTTTGTCCACCAAGCCTCCGGTATTGGAAGGCAAAACGCCCGTTCTACATGCCCCACAGCGATACTGCTACAATAGCTCTGACTGTGCCATAAAATATACATCACAATTACTAGCTACGCAACCACATAGCCTCCCATGTGTCCCGAGGCTTATCGCAATGATATATCAGTGGCGACAGGCTGGAGAGATCCCATTACATCCAGTTCATAAAGAGACAGCTCATGGTCCTGGCCTAGCGGAAAAAAAAAAAGCTTCTCCACGCTATCCAGGAAAAAAGTGAAGTCACGAATTACACTATTTTTTTTTTCTTTCACTGTTGAAAATTATTTGGGTCCAGTTGACTCGACGTTTTTGTTTTTGTTTTGGTTTTATCATCCCCTAAAGGGATTCACAGTTACCTACTACCTACGGTTCTCAGTCTCGTTCACGCCATGTAGAACAAAGTTTACGACAATCCAGATTGGGAAAGTATCGTTCCCACATTTCAAGTTGATTATTATGCTTAAGTGCCTTGTATTGATGATTGTATATTTCCCCTGGTCTTTGCTGACATTAACGTGTTATCTATTCCGTGCTTATCCCCCTACTACAGAAAAACTAATATGAGAGTGGTCTCCTGGAATGTCAATGGTCTCAAATCACCTGCAAAATGCATGATGGTTCTTCGCCACCTACAAAAACTTAAACCAGACATCGTGTTTCTACAAGAAACCCATCTTCCCGCCGAAGATATCACTAGGCTGCGCAAGCTATGGGTGGGTGAAGTCATCGGCTCCCCAGCTGTGGGATGACAATCAGGGGTAGCTATCCTTTTTCATAAAAAAATTTCTTATAGCATAGACCATATCACTGCCGACCATGAGGGGCGTAAACTGTTGGTGAAAATTAAGATTCACAATAAAACATATTCGTTATATAACTTTTACTTCCCCAATACCCCCCCGACCTCCTGAAACACAAAGATATAACACAGTTAAACAAAGCTTTTCTAGCCTTCATATGGAGGGGTAAAAAGGCAAGGATATCGCTGCAAAAACTTTTTCTGCCAAGGGGTGAGGGAGGAATGGCTTTCCCAAACACAAGACTATATAATCTGAGTTGCCTACTTAGACACTCAGCTGATTGGATTGGATCCTCCTCCCACTACTCAAACTTCCACCTGGAAACAGAGATGGCACATCCCTGGAGACTTTCCAACCTTCTACATTGCCCCTTTTCTAAAATCCCCGTAACTCTAAGATCCAATGTTATTATTAGAGACACAGTAATTGCGTGGAGGGAGTCTCATAAAATGGTGAAAGCCAACCCGTACTTCTCCCAGTATGTGACCCTGAAAGGAAACCCATCATTCCCTCAGGGGGAGGAATATGACACTTTTACCAAATGGGAGACCAAGGGGATTACTAAATTCGCACAGCTCTTATCCCCGGACACAGGTAGGAGATTAACGTTCCAGGATTTCAGGAGGACATACCAGAGACCCGCACATGAGTTCCTACACTTCCTACAGGCGACAACTCATCTAGATAAGCTTGGCTCCACTGCATATACAGTAACCAATCATTCTCTCATTGGCAAGATCACGACCACAGACAGGCAGTCTATATCGAACATCTACTCTCACCTGAGACAGACAAGCTCTAATTTGACAAAATGGCATTCCCAGTGAAGACTTGGTAGAGAAAATCCTGGTGGGGTACCGCTCTATTTGTAAGGCAATGGTGAACGAGCAATGGAGAGAGACTCAATTTAAGATAATACATAGAGCTTATTATGCATTCCAATTACAGCGCACACCCATTCATGA